GCCGCTCATCCAAGTCTGTGCTGCCCCCCAGAAGCGGCCGCAGCAGACCCGGCTCCTAGGTGTGTGTGTGGTAGCACGCACAGGGCTCCAAGCACAGGGCTCTGAGCACTCCCACTGGCTGGGAACTTGCTGCCGGCTGCTTCTGGGGCACAGCCTGGTCTGTGGTGCAGGAGAGGCAAGAAACTGCCTTAGCCCCCTGTTGCACTGCTGCCCGGAGCCACTCAAGGTAAGCCCCTCCTGCCCAAGTCCTGAGCCTGCCCCCAAGCTGGATCCCCCTCCTACAGCCCAATGCTCCATCCTGAAGCCCCACCCTGGAGCCTGCACGTCAAATTATGTTGAGACATGAGCACCAACAATTTTATTCAACTGGGTCATGAGAAAAAGTTTGAAAACTACTGTTTTAGTGGACGTGCCGACTATTTAAAGGGATACTACCCAATTCCTAGACACTGTAATGCTCTTGTAAGTACATTCACATAGGCCATGACGTAGGGTCACGGCATCAACGATTTTCTTCAACTGGGTTAGGAGAAAAAAAGTGTGAGAACCGCTGAGCCTACAGGATGTGGGAAGCTGCCCTCGGCCATCTCCCTCTGGAGTCCTGCCCTCCCCACAGCCCAAGCGGGAGCAGAGGCGTATCGTTCCTCCGTGCGGGCGGCTTGCTCCCCGCAGACACTTCAGGTCTTATACGCTGGGCTGAGATTCAGAGCCCAGGAGAGCGAAGGCCTGGCAGCGTGCCTGGAGTCAGGCATTGTGTGCAAGTGCCCCATTGCGGGAATGGACCTTTTGTCTAACCTGCCCCGCCCTCTGTTTATTCCAGACCTTTCACCTGTCAGCACCTCTCAGCCTTCAGCTGCACCACCCCTGCTATTCCAGTGCAGAGCAGAGTGCTGAGTTGTGCCTGTCATGATGTGGATAAACATCCAGTGGGGACTAAACAAAGGCCACCGACATTGATTGCTTTAACCGGCCACAGACTCAGATCAGAGCCCGGCTCTCCGAAGATGATAGCACGGGGATTTACTCTGCTCAGGGCCTCTTAACCAGCAGTGCCAGAGGAGAAGGACGAGGTGACCCTGTAGGCCTCCTCCACCTTTAACCTCTGTGTGTCTACACAAAACTTATGTCATCAACCGAAAATCGACAAAAGAAAACTCGCTAGAGGGTGTTCACACTTGTTCTCTCTGTCAACAGATTGTGTCCACGCTGGGGGGCACCCTCTTAGATAGCATGAGCAGTGTTACTGTGGGCAGGTATCCCCAATCCCTGTGCATCTTGGGATTCCCCCTCAGTTCTCCCACTGCATCCTCAGCTGCAGGGACAGAAGCAGGTGTAGCTCTGGGAGCTCTCCATGCTAAGGATTGTCAAAGCAACACAACGTTTGCCCCCCTCCCTCTGCACCAGCAGTCTGCCGGATGCTCTGTTGCTAGTGCAGCACAGAATAGGAGAACTCCAATGATTTGTTCTTTGTTTGTTCCCTCAATCGGAGCAGCTCACTCAGCTGTCAGACACTTCCCTGGAGCTTTGAAAGGGGAGGGGCGCATGCCTGCAGGGCAGCAGAGCTCACAAAACACTGAGCACAGCCGTCAGGGCAGGCATTGAGGGATACTGGTGGAAGCCAGTTATGTCCAAACCAACAGCAGAGTTCACGCTGGCTATGTCTAGACTATGAAGTTTTTCCCGGATACCAGAAGAAGCCCGGAAAAAGTCCGCCGCGTCCAGGGAACTCCGAAATTTTTTTTGGAAGAGCAGGTGCACTCTTTCGGAAGCCCTGTATTCCTCATTTTATGAGGAAGAAAGGCTTTTCCGAAAGAGGAGTTTTTTCTGAAATTTGGCCCAGTGTAGACAGGCCAAATTTCGGAAAAGCCTCTTCCGAAAAAAGAATCGGAAAAACATGGCCGGCTAGACGGAGCCGCTGGCTCTTTGTCAAGAAATTTTTTTTGGAAGAGCAGGTGCACTCTTTCGGAAGCCCTGTATTCCTCATTTTATGAGGAAGAAAGGCTTTTCCGAAAGAGGAGTTTTTTCTGAAATTTGGCCCAGTGTAGACAGGCCAAATTTCGGAAAAGCCTCTTCCGAAAAAAGAATCGGAAAAACATGGCCGGCTAGACGGAGCCGCTGGCTCTTTGTCAACTATAAAGGAAGGGAAAAAGAGAAAGCATCTGATAGGGGTAGAAGTTTTTTGTCGCCACAGTTGGGTGTTTTTCCTGACACAAGTCACGTTGCAGTGTGAATGCGCTCTGGCTGCGTCTAGACTGGCAAGATTTTGCAGCTGCTTTTGTGGAAAAACTTGCCAGCTGTCTACACTGGCCGCTTGAATTTCCACTAGAACACTGACGATCTCATGTAAAATAGTGATAGAAATGTAGCCGTGTTAGTCTGGTGTAGCTGAAACAAAAAACAGGACTATGTAGCACTTTAAAGACTAACAAGATAGTTTATTAGGTGATGAGCTTTCGTGGGCCAGACCCACTTCCTCAGACGTAGCCTCTCTGTTTTGTCGGCAAAAGGCGGATTTTTGGCAACAAAACTTGGTAGCGGAGACGAGGGATAAGTGCTGGTGCGTTCTTCACTCTTCGTAGCACTGATGAGACGTGAGGTAGGACAGGAGGAATGTGCTGTAATTACCAGGCTTGGTGGCTGCATATGGAGAGCTTGTGTTTCAAGAAATCCCTTCCAGGCTCTGCTGTGGGCGCAGCCTGTCCCTTGAGTTTGCAAGGGCCGTTGAGGCTTGACGTCCTGGTTCCTTCCGCCCTGCCCTTGCTGGCAGTGTGATGACAAGCTCTTGTCTTGTGGAAATACTTGCTGAGCAGCATCCGAGAGAAAGAACCTGAGTGACGTGGCCTGGAGGGTACCAGCCAGGCCGCTGCAAGAGGGTTTGTGCCAGTGGGGGTGCAGGCAGCATTTGCAGTGCTGCGGATTGAGAAAACAGCTGGGATCCATTCAGAGCTCGGGGCAAACGTCATTCCCTCCTGCCTGTTCCCTGCGATGACCGGAGGCGGACGTCCATTAGCACAGGCATCCGAGAGCGAGATCGGCTTGTGCATTTTATCCACACGCCTCAAACAGAACCAGATGTCAGGGCAGACCTGGGATGGACCCTGAATGCTCCGCCCCTCTCCCCCTCCCATTCTAACCTAGGAACCAGGATGTCGCTGGTCAATTCCCTGCTCTGCCACAGATTCACTGCGTGGCCTTGGGTGAGTCACTTAGCGGCTTGGTGCCACCGTTTCTCATCAGACAAAGGGGAATTGTAGCACTGCCCCACCTCCCAGGGGTGTCTGAAGAAGTGTTCTGCATGGAAAGGAGAATTTGAGCAGTGTCTTTGGGCCATCTGAGGGGGACAAGGCACATTTCTGAGACTGCAAGAGAGGAAGTATTTTTTCTCAGAGGCTGATGCCTGCTAAGAATGCCCATTACCATAGCCTCTAAGCGCCTCATTGGGTCTCCCCGGGGACCACTCACAGGAATGAGGATTGCAGGATCCGCCTGTACGGGCGTGCACCATTTGTCTCTCTTGGGGTTGCTAGAACTTCACCAGGTCGTCTCTGCCGGGCACAGCCCCTGCTACCCTGGAGGAGTAACGTCAGTCGAGCCATACCATCGAATTCTTGCCGAGACAGGCCTGAACCTGCTGATGTCATCAGGAAGCCTCTACCTGACTCAAGTGCTGGTTTCAGCCAGGCCTCCCTTCCAGCCACCTCCGTCAGAAACGGGAGTGACGCAGGCTCGCCCGGGAAATGTGTTTGCTCAGGGCTGGAGAAAGATACCTGGTTGCTCATTACCCCCAGTTCCATGGGGAAGGATGTGGCGCCCTGGAGCGGGTGACTCAGTCCCCTGCCGGAAGACCAGTCTAACAGCCTTCTTAACACCCACAAACCTCACCTACACCCCTTAGCATTTAACTGCCAACGGCTCTGTTCTCTCTGTCGCACCTGGAGTGTTCAAAGCAGGTGGGTCAGAAAAAACCAGAGACAAGTCTTTGGCATAAGAACGGCCACAGTGGGTCAGACCAAAGGTCCATCTAGCCCAGTATCCTGTCTGCTGACAGTGGCCAAGACCAGGTGCCCCAGAGGGAGTGAACAGAACAGGAAATCATCAGGCAAATAGGATGCTAGGAATTATTAGGAAAGGAATAGAAAATAAGACCCAGAATATTTTACTGCCCCTGTATAAAACTATGGTACACCCACATCTTGAATACTGTGTGCAGATGTGGTCTCCTCACCTCAAAAAAGATATTTTGGCCTTTGAAAGGGTTCAGAAAAGGGCAACTAAAATGATTAGGGGTTTGGAACGGGTCCCATATGAGGAGAGGTTAAAGTGACTGGGACTTTTCAGTTTAGAAAAGAGGAGACTGAGGGGGGATATGATAGAGGTCTATAAAATCATGAGTGGTGTGGAGAGGGCCGATAAAGAAAAGTTATTTATTAGTTCCCATAATAGAAGAACTAGAAGACATCAAATGAAATTAATGGGTAGCAGGTTTAAAACTAATAAAAGAAAGTTCTTCTTCACACATTGTATAGTCAACCTGTGGAACTCCTTGCCAGAGGAGGCTGTGAAGGCTGGGACTATAACAGAGTTTAAAGAGAAGCTGGATAATTTCATGGAGGTTAGGTCCATAAAAGGCTATTAGCCAGGGGATAAAATGGTGTCCTTGGCCTCTGTTTGTCAGAGGCTGGAGAGAGATGGCAGGAGACAAATCGCTTGATCATTGTCTTCGGTCCACCCTCTCTGGGGCACCTGGTGCTGGCCACTGTTGCCAGACAGGATACTGGGCTAGAAGGACCTTTGGTCTGACCCAGTATGGCCGTTCTTATGTTCCTATGTAAGTGATCCCTCCCCTGTCGCCCATTTCCAGCCCCTGACAAACAGAGGCTAGGGACACCGTTGCTGCCCATGCTAGCTAATAAGTATTGATGAACCTACCCTCCATGAATTTATCTGGTTCTTTTTGGTGTGGCAGGTTCTGTTTAAACAAAGGCTCCCGTTGCCCTTGCCCCCGGCCCTCCCTTTTAGGAAAGAAGTGCTCTCCAGTGGTTAGAACTCTAACCTAGGAACCTGGATGCCTCTGTTCAATTCCTGTCTCTGCCTCAGACTCTCTGTGTGGCCTTGGTTGAGTCATTTAGCGGCTGGGTCCTCCGTTTCCCATCAGTCAAAGGGGAATCGTCGCACGGCCCCACCTCTTGGGTGTCTGAGGATAAAAGCTTGAAACGTGTGTGAGGTGCCCAGATGTACCAAATGATGAGGACCAGATAAGAACTGGAGAGAGAAAGAGACTGTCCAGCTGCTCCGCTAATCTCTGGGAAGACGCTACCACTGGGACTCCGAGAAAGGCGCTCTGCAGCAGGGAGAAGGAGGCTCTGAAGGCTAGCGCATCCTGAGGTTGGGTGGAGAGCAGAGACAGAGGAGCAGCGCAGCGTGGGGGTGGATGGAAGATCAGAGAGCACAGCTTGTCAGTCTTAACTTTCTGGTGTCATTTCACGATTTTCTGGTAATTAAATGATTTAACTTCATGACTCAGAAAGCCACGATGAGGAGAAGAGAGAGGCCTCAGGGAAGCAGACTCCGGTGGAAGATGAACCCACAGCCCGGTGTTCTCAGAATCCAGCAGAGAAGCAAGGAAACGGGATCTCCGCTAGAGCGCATTCGTTCCTAATTCCCATGGGCATCCCCAGGGCAAACAGGCCTGACACGGGCAGCCAGAAGCCTGGCTTTACATCTGGTTTTTCCAAAACGCCTAACGGAGTTAGGTACCTAACTACCATTGAGTCTGTGAGAGGTTTGAGCACCTAACTCGCCTTGTTTCATTTGAAACTCCCACCCGTAAAACAGCATGGCTGTGTCTACACTGGGCCACTTTTCCGGAAAGGCAGTCGCTTTTCCGGAATAACTTGCCAGCTGTCTACACTGGCCGCTTGCTTTTCTGGAAAAGCACTGACGATCTACTGTAAAATTGTCAGTGTTTTTCTGGAAAAACTATGCTGCTCCCGTTCTGGCAAAAGTCCTTTTCCAGAAAAACTGTTCTAGAAAAGGGCCAGTGTAGACAGCACATTGCGAAAATGACGATCGGGGCTTTTTTCCGGAAAAGCATCCTGCCAATGTAGACGCGCTTTTTCCGGAAATACTTATAACAGAAAACTGTTCCGTTTTAAGCATTTCCGGAAAATCATGCCAGTGTAGACGTAGCTCATAAGTTCCCCCCTGCTGTGGTAATCAGCCCTGAATTTCTCTTTTGCAGGGTTTTTGTAGCCAGGCTGGTTGCAGGATATTAGCGAGACCAGGAGGGTGAGGTTTTCTGGACCAGCCTCTGTTGATGAACGAGACGAGCTTTCGAGCAACATCTTCTTTTCACTAATTTCAAAGGTTTCCGCTCCTCAGCAACCGCACACCGTCTGGTTGGCTGGAGCGGCTGGCACAGCTGCTTTGTGCTCTCAAATCGAATCATCATAAATAATTAACCATTAATATTTTTACTACGGCGCTTCTCTAAGTATGGCCTACCCTGGGCCCCCTTCGCGGGAGCTTTGCAAAGGCCACTGAGCAGCGGGTAAAGGGAGCTCCATACGTTGATTATATACATGTCTGTGTATTGTAGCCAAAGGACTTAACTGCCACACTGCAAGGCCGTGGAAAAGAAATAGAGTTCCTGGCACCCAGCCCCCTTCTCCAAGCATTAAACTAAGCGTCTTTGTTTGAACTGGGAGCTCATGAGTTTATATCCAGGCCACGTCTTCCTTGTGCAGATCTCTGCCAAAGGAAAACAAGACGCCAAGGCTAATGTGCTAAAGTTTTTAAAAGTTTCAAACTGAACAAGGGCTGCCAAATGCATGAGACAGCCAGGCCAGACAAGCGCCAGGCAGGGAGCGTAGGGGAAAATCTTCCCCGAAAGGCCGTGTAGCCTGCTTCCAGCCCACTTCTACCACTGTTGATAATAAAGAGAGCAAAGAAGCCGGCGGAAGCCTTCACGTGGTCTGAGATACCAGGTTGCCTTGTTAGCCTGGGTTGGGAAAGTCCGGGAGTGAGAAGGTTTGGCCATTCTCTAGTGCAGGGGTTCCCAAACTTTTTGACACGGGGACCAGTAAATCCATTTACGAGCTTTTGGAAGGCTGGTAACATTCATTTGCATATTTGCATATTCATTAAGAAAATGATGAATATGCAAACACGTTGTTTCTGGTCCTCCCAAAGCCCCCAGTGCCAGCGTTAGCAAAGGGTTTGATACAGTCACCCACAATATTCTTGCCAGCAACCTAAGGGAATATGGATTGGATAAATGGACTGTAAGATGGACAGAAAGCCGGATAGACCAGTGATAGAAATGTAGCCGTGTTAGTCTGGGGTAGTTGAAGCAAAATGCAGGACAATGTAGCACTTTAAAGACTAACAAGATGGTTTATTAGATGATGAGCTTTTGTGGGCCAGACCCACTTCCTCAGATCAAATAGTGGAAGAAAGTAGTCACAACCATATATACCAAAGGATACAATTAAAAAAAATGAACAAATATGAAAAGGACAAATCACATTGCAGAACAGAAGGGGGATGCGGGGGGGTGGGAAGGGGGAGGAAGGAAGGTAAGTGTCTGTGAATTGCTGATATTAAAGGTAGGGAGAGTGGGATGTTTGTGAGTTAATGGTATTAGAGGTGATAATTGGGGAAACTGTCTTGGTAATGGGTGAGAAAGTTCAAAGTCTTGTTAAGTCCTTGGTGATAAGTGTCGAATTTTAACATGAATGACAGTTCAGAGGATTCCCTTTCAAGTGCAGATGTAAAAGGTCTTTGTAGCAGAATGCAGGTGGCTAAGTCATTTAGAGAGTGTCCTTTCTGGTTAAAGTGGCAAGAAACTGTTTTCTCTTTGTGATCTTGTCTGATATCTGTTTTGTGGGCATTAATCATAGACCAGGGTTTTCCAAACTTTTCACTTTAGTTGGAACCCGTTTTTTTTCAGTACTGCCTTTTGCAGCCCAAACATATAAACACATATTTAAAAAAGAATTAAAAATGAATACATGTTCACTGTTTCATCCGATGCCGCACAGAAGCACCCCCAAGTGAGCCCGGGACACCCCAGCAGCCACGCTGAGGCCCGGCATTTTTTTCCTGTGGACCGGCACTAGTGGGAGGACCTGTGACTAACACCTCTCCCGCCAGGCCTTGGGAGAGGGAATGCGGAGGGGTACTTGAGGGGAAGGAGGGAGCTGGAGACAGGCTGGGGGAGGAGGCTGGGATGGGGGGAACTGTGGAGAAGGGGGAGGGGTAAGGCAAAGGGCAAGAGATGAGGGAGGAGGATGGGATTTCTAACTGTAGGGAGTCGCAGGGTCCTTTCTGGGCAGCGGGGGCTGGATGTGTCCATGCTGCTCTGCACTCTGCTTTATCCGAACCGCTTTCTTTCTGTGGCAGAGAGGAGCAGGATGGAAGGCCTGAGCAGCCCCAATCCCTCCGGCTTCCCCGTCCCCAAGCACGTCCTGGACATCTGGGTCATCGTGCTGATCATCCTCGCCACCGTCCTCGTCATGACGTCCCTGGTGCTGTGCCCGGCCACGGCTGTCATCATCTACAGGGTGCGGACTCACCCCATCCGCAACGGGGCCGTGTGAGAACGGAGCCCGGGGCCTGGCTGGCTTCCCTCAGACTATGCTGGAGAACAGACACTGGGCGACGCAGGCAACTCGGTGTTCGACAGCACCCTGGAGGGGCAAGGACCACACTGCCGACCAGGACATGGCGGGAAGCACAGGCCGGAGGCTCCTGGGACCAGAGCTCCCTGTGCGCCACTTAAGTGCACCCAAGGGAGCTGGGTTAGTCTCAAAGCTTCGTCTGGAGCCTGGCGGGGCTACTCCGGGGCCCAGAATGCTCCTGCCTGGGCTTCACCTCGTGCGCACCGATCAAAACGGCCCCCTCGGATTTACCCGCTGAGCTACTCGGAAACGGCAGGGCCAGGCGCCACAAGAGACACGTTCACACACTGAGAGGTGGCCGCTTGGAACGTTTCACGCTGTGCCGCCCTCCCTCGCCACGAGGGCCGGCTGGTGACCGCCTCATAGCTGGGGTCTCCTGCCTGCCGGCCCGCCCTCACCCTGGATGAGGCTGGCACTGGGGACGACCAAGGAAGCGGGGTTCAGTGAAAGTAATGTATGTGACGGGGGAGGGAGGGGATCGGCGTCTGGCTTTGCAAGGCCTTGGGGCCGTAGCAGCATCCTTAGCACAGTGAAAGGGCCCGTGGGGTAACTAACGGAAATGCACGAGGTGTCGGGTTCAGACGGGGGCCTTTGGCTAACAACTCTTGGGAGAGACGTGGCCCCCTCCCCCTCGCTGGGCCTGTCGCCTTGTGATTTCTTAATGTCTTTGTAAGGAAAGGGCTAGATGGATGCCCACCCCTGCCTGGCTTGGTCTCAAATTACAGCGAGGCTTCACCTTGCTCTCGAGAGGCCCCGGTGCTGTGCTTATAAGAAGCACCCGGGATCTTTTTCAAGGGAAAAGGCAATATGCTGTGTTTATCGAGAACACAGTAGAGAAGCAGTTAGCATCTGCTTTGTGTACACACACACACACACACACACACACACACACACACACTCTGCAGATGGTGCATAGTTACCAGTCCATGGTGGCTCAAGTCGGTCTTACTGGCAAGGTTGACTGAGCGAGGAGTTGGGGTTCCTCTAAGGCTTGGCTTGCAGGACTGAACCCAGCATCCCATGGGAAGAGCCCCCCTTCTTGTACATGGAAGTTCCCATTGGAGTCTAGGGGTATTGTAGTGTCGTGCTGCGATCCATCCTTAGGAGGTGTTCATCTGTGTTTTCCAGCGTTCCCCTCTGACGGGGATTGTCTGGCTTCCCAGCATTGTCTCAATCTTGGTGGGGTCTCTGCCCGTCTCCAAGGTTGTCAATGCTGCTCATTCAGTTCAGCCTCAGACACAACGGCTGTTTCCTCATTAGCTTCAAGATTCCCACTTCTTGATTACCTGGGCATCTATGGTGGCTGCCACACTCACGCACTTCCTCCACTCCCACCACACAATTGTACCGTTTCAGACAAGAGCAATAGTTACTAGGAGACACAACTTAGTTTGTGATGCAGACAAGGGGTACAACTTAATTTGGAATGCTAGCAAGGAGCAAGGCCTTACCGCAAACAGTAGCTCATCACGAGAGACAAAGAGAGAGAAACAGAGGCAGACGGAACTTAGAAGCACGTCATTATACATGAAATCATTATGCATCGTACGTAATAGTCTTATAACCAATCCTAAAATATACGTTTTTGCACAGGCCTGTTCCGTCTGTGTGGGCTGGTCGGCCCTGGGCCTCTCTCCAGAGATTGCCAGCATGGAGACTGTGGTGATGGTGCTTTGCATGAGGGGGCCAGCCAGGCGCTGGGAACTGGGCTTAGGAGACACAGATGCCCGCCAGTGGCCAGAGGGGAAGAGTTTTCAGTCGCTGTAAATCTGTGCTGGATGTGAGCCAACAATCCCCATGCCCTTAACAGTCCCAAGCTGGGTAGTTCTCCTGCAGCTCCTTTGCTTTTCCTCACCCAAAGATGGAGAGGGAATGGTTTACTGGAATGGGGGAAGGCAGCCCCAAGCCAGCACACAGAGGCAGAGCTGCAGTTGGGGGGGGGGGGGGCTTGCACCCAGTGCCCCCTGTAAGCTGAGCACTTGGGCAGACACCCAGGAAAGAGTCAAGTGCCACCCAGCTGATGACCAGAGCGCCCACAGCTGGCAGCCTGTGTGTCTCCTGGTGGTGCACATTAACCTTGGTGCACGTAAAAAATTTATTCTGCACACAGGTGGAAAAAAATGAGAGGGAATATTAGTTATCTCCTCTGGACATAGGCTATAGACTCAAAGCTAGAAGTCAGCTGAGACTGTGGTTAGAATATTCCTGAACGGGACCTAGGTATGGGAATGGGAATGGGTGCATTGGGGCTAGCAGTGCCCTACACTCTCCCTTCACAATCCATTTCAAGCATCATGTCAGTGGGTTTTTCCAGCATGAGCTTTGTTCTCGGGGTACTTCCATGCAGCGGAAAAGCTCTGTGCTATGGTACAGTTAGCAACCAGTGCTCAGGAGAGGAGGCCCAGGTTTTGGATAACTTGCAGACCCAGGAGTGGGACGCAGGGGACACTCAGCACCGTCCGCAGTTGGCGTCCCAAGCCCGGAAGTGGGGAAGGGGCAGGTGCTGCAGGCAATCCTCATTGCCCGCTGCTTTCACAGACACTAAAACTCAAACCTTAAGCTACTGCATTTGCACCGTTTGAGGTGATGGGGAGGGAGAGGGGGATGCAACTTAGGAAGGAAAAGTAAATGTATGTTTAGGATGAGTGTGAGCAAAATCACCATCATGAAAGCTGTGATATTGCACTGATCCATGGAATAAATGGACGCTATTTGACATGTGGATGTTGCGACATTCTATCCGTGCGAAGATCCGTCAATCCTTCCCACTGGCCGCTTTTCCTGCACCCCCGGCCTGCCCTGAGCCACGGCTCTGGTTTTGTTCCTACGTAAGTTGGAGAGCTCCTGCAGGCATGCACTGCCTCTGAGTGCGTGCTCTGTAACATAGCGTGTACGTCTGCAGTGCACCACATTAGACGAGTGTATAAGTAAACAGAGAGATGGATGTGCCTGATGAAGTAAACAGTGTCAGACGCAGAACAAATGGTCAAGCTAAAATGCCACCACTGAGCTCTCCACAAAAACCAGGCTTACCCGTGGCAGGCAGCATGAGGTTTTATTTCCTCCGTTCAGGCTGATCTGTATAACTCACTGGTGGCTTCCCTCCCCGTATGACTTGTGAACTCCATGACTATTTCGTGGGAAGCGTCGTGGGGCATTTGGGGCAGGTC